GCCTGTGGAACTCACTGCCACATGATATTTTGAGGCCAACAGCTGGCTGGGATTTGACATGTATGTGACTCATGAGACTATCCAGAGTTACATTAAAATGAATATTTCTAAGGGCATTAAATATATCCTCCTTGAAGTGCCTGAGGCTAAGGGCAGTTTATACCATGACTGTCCATTATAGGGTGTCTTTCTTTGCTTGCCAAAGTTGGGCACAGCTGAATACAACAGCCAGACTAGATGGAGGCCTCTAGGTTGGTCTGGTTTAGCAGTTCATATATTGTGGGGTGAGGAACACACACAGAGCCAGGTCTACACTAGACTGGAAGACTGGGTTAAAGTACGCAGCTCCAGCTAAGTATAATACATAGTTGGAGTCAGCATGCATTAAGCTGAGCTTGGCACTGTCTTCACAGAGGGAGGCCAATGGGAGCAAAGGCTTCTGTTGGTTTCTCTTACTCCGTGGGAGTGCCAGAAGTACCAGCGCCGACCGGAGCGGCCCTCAGCATTTGATTTAGCAGGTCTTAACTAGACCCGTTAAATCAAATGCCAGAAGATAGATTTCCAGCGCGGCATGCAAAGAAGTGGCCATAGAGTGCCCTTCCTCACTGTGTGTTGTCAGTGCCCTTCTTTGCTGCATGTTGTCACTTATTCATTCGCTTTGGGGACTCTGGATTAGTGGTGGCGCATTGCTGAGGATCAGAAGACCCTGGATTCTTCACGGAAGCAGAGAAACCAGATGTGATTCACGCTGCCCATGGACAGCTCGGGGTCCGGAGGAACGGGCTTCTTCTTTGGAAGACTCACCCTTGGTATCCAATCAGCACGTGACTTAAAATGCATCTAAAAAGCCAGAGTCGTGTTTGCTGTTCCTAGATCCATCAAGAGGGGGTTAGTGTAGCCTGGCCGGCTGCCAAAGCATTTCGGCAGACTGCAAGAGTCAGAGTCCTACTGGGAAGCATTTGCTGATCTTTCTAAGGAAGCCAAAGTGATTATTCATTGTTGTTCGTTAGCAGGCAGAGGAGGGGCATGGCTCAAAGGCTGTTTATGGGCCTGGAACTTTTTCCTGTGGCCTCGGGGACCGTAGTCAGCCTGCCAGGCACTTCCACGACCCCTTCCACAAGTGGCTCACTATGGACCCGACCCTGCACTGCGGACGGAATTTCACCCATTGAGCGCAGTGGCGCAGGATTACCCTGCCCCTGCAGGGTTGTGGACAGCCAGAACCGGCTGGGAGGCTGAGCAGGCAGGACTGAAGGTGGGGGGAGGTCCAGAGAGCCTGTGGAAAGTCCTCTGTAATAGGCCGACTAAGGCCGGGCAGTGAGATGACGCCTTCCTGGCCTCCATCTTGAGCCCCTTCGCCGCTTCAGACTGTCTATAACAGACTAGTAACCAACAGGCCTTGCTGGGCATTAGCCTCCAGACCCCCTGGGACACTAGTGACATGGAAGGGAGGACCGAGGGGCCACGTGTCCCCCAAATGCTGTGGACAGGAGCGACTGCAGAAGGAATCGGGTCCCCTTGCACTCACCAGCGGGGGGCACAGGGTGCGTGGAGCAATGTGGCTCTGCTCCCCGCCTGCCAGGAAACAGAGTCAGGGGAGCAGGGTGGGGCTGCGTTACTCCACTCCCCCCTGCCACTGTTGGTGAGTGCAGGGGGCCCGACCTCTGCTGCTGGTGCCAGACTCCCCCAACTAGTCCCCTGGGTAATGGGGGAGGGGCTTGGGGAAAGAGGCGGAGCAAGGGCAGGGGCGGGGCCTAGAGTGGAGGGGGAGTTATCACGCCCTTCCCCTGGTGGCACAGGGAGGAGACACAAGAGGGGAGTGGTCACATGGCTGGTGCCC